TTATGTTACTTTATTAAATTCGTTTGAGCGCTAACTACAAGAAACAATTCGTTGCTTAGCGAATCAAAATGGCAGCGTTGCAAGTTTTGATAAGCTCAAAACTTCATGAAAGTAGTTAACTAGCCGAGAGACGGAGCTAAGAGGAAAATGTGTCACGATTTGAGCTAGAATATTGAAGTTATTGCCTTTATTAAACAACGCCCCCTGTTGAGTAATTATGAATGTACAGTTTCCGCTAGCTAGATATTTAACAACGCTCTTCGTTACAAAATGATCATTAAAGTGCCACCGAAATTGCTGCTGTTGTTTGAGGTGTCTTCAAGCTAAAATTTGACTGGCACTTCCTAATAAATCATGAAGAACAATGCTTTTAGTGACAGAGACAAGACCTGAAAAATTCCTTTCCTTTTTGTTTTTTCTTTGCTTTTTATTCAACCCCTAGCAAGCGGTAACGAACCGTTGGAGTGTTAATAGCACAGTTTGGTGTTTTTCTGTGCTCAGAACCATGACTTAATGACGGCTCCTGCTATCACTAAGTGTCTCAAGGGCGAGAAAGTGTACCTTGTAGATCTTTAATAAGCTATAAAAACTTAGACCTTTCACTCTTTTCACTCTGCTCAGCCTCAAAAAGAGACCTCTACTATATTACTCTCTCCACGGTTTCACAGTTGTGCTATTTTTATAAGATTTTCTAATTTATTTTACTATTAAGATTGAGCGTAGCCGAGCGGTGTAATAATAGGTACAAAATAACATCAGCTTCGTATTGAAGAACGATAGATGGCAGCACAGAAGTAATGTAAAGGCACTAGTAGTAGTAAATGCTAATATTGCCTTCTGCTGGCTAATCTATTTATCATTTAACAGGGAGTGTAATATAGGATCCTCTACAATATCCACCTAATTAAATGTAATAAATATGGCAAGTGGTAATGTAGATCTCGTGTTAAACTAGTAGTAGTTGCTAGATCAAAATTGAAAGTAAATACTGTAGAGTCATATTAAAAATGAGAAATACAGAAATTTTTGGAAACCCTATTATAATATTAGTGGTTGTTACAACAAGAAGGACCCTTCTTACGTGAATGAATGTTATATAAGGTAGGGATCCCCAAACTTGGAGCCGCAAAAAAAGTGTCATGGGGGCCGTAGCAAATACATATTACACAATACTGTTGATGTACTCAGTATCTATATATTCATTAAATGAAGAGTCTTCAGTCAGGATGCGGAATGCTCGGGGGGGGGGGGGGGGCTTTTGCTGATGAAGTTAGGGAAGTCCTGATTTAAATTGTGCTGTTTAAATAAACATGAGTGAGGGTATTTATTTTCAGATTTTTCTAACTTTGCATGTGGGAAGAAAACATTTAGTAACAAAAAATCTAATGTATCGAGCGCAAACTCTGTGCTATATAAACGTTGAGTTATTCGTCTTGTTGGAATGTTTGAGATGTGCTACGATAACATTTTCAGGGTTTTAATATTTTTACCATAAATACTGATTTGTCAGTATTTATACGAAACAAAATCAGTATTTTATTTATTCACAATAAACATACGGTTAGGTTATGACCTAGGAAATCTACTTAGCAAAAAACACATTCAAACCGTAATTTAAACACTAATATTCTAGGATTTTAACCTGTGTTCTTTATATCTCGTACTTACTTTTGATATGTTATCACAATGTCTTAGAACATCAAGACTAGAGTATATATCGAATCACTTGACATGCTCGTCATATCTTAAACATGTGTTACTTAAAGTTTCTAAATAGTGTTTTACATAAGCTCTATGTGTTCGATATTTGTTTTCTAAAGAGCCCGTAACAACATAGGCGGAGGAACTAAAGGGTTACTAATTTTAAGGCTGCCATACACTACATTCTCGCGTTCTACCACGTACAGTTTTGGAATTGCCTCATTTGAAGTCTATAAATGCTACATTTCTTAGGGGTCGTACTCTATGATCCTCATAGAATTACCATGTTCAGTGATCGCATATGATCCTCATAGAATTACCATGTTCAGTGATCGCATATGATCCTCATAGAATTACCATGTTCAGTAATCGCATACACTTTTGCCTCAGGTAACTTTTGTTCTCTCCTCATGTGTAATAAGCCCGAAATTTTCTATACCTTAAATATGTTATAAAATTTCTACTTCCTTCTACCTTGGTGTAGGCTATTCCTGTAGCTTGGTAAGTTTTACATGTCTGTATTAATGTACTTTGTATATGCTCTACATCTGTTACCTGTACCTTGGTAAGTTTTACATGTCTGTATTAATGTACTTTGTATATGCTCTACATCTGTTACCTGTACCTTGGTAAGTTTTACATGTCTGTATTAATGTACTTTGTATATGCTCTACATCTGTTACCTGTACCTTGGTAAGTTTTACATGTCTGTATTAATGTACTTTGTATATGCTCTACATCTGTTACCTGTACCTTGGTAAGTTTTACATGTCTGTATTAATGTACTTTGTATATGCTCTACATCTGTTACCTGTACCTTGGTAAGTTTTACATGTCTGTATTAATGTACTTT